CACAACTTCCGCGGCCTATGGGTATTTTCAAAATGGCCGTGGGGGCTGGAAAATGTGAGAAAACGCATCTGCGCATGCGTCAACAGGCACGAGCCCCATTCATTTAACGAGTGACTTCAAAGTTTCACAGCAAGTAAACTAGACTAGTCCAAAAAAATTCACCCCCCTCAGCATTGACACACATGTGGAACGGAGCTTTGGGCCAAGCTATATGTTAGCATTGGCTAATTCTTCTTCTGGGTCCACCCCCATCGGCCCGGGGTGGTATTGCAAGCATGTCAGCGCACGTCATTTTGGCCACTTTAGAGCATATTATGTAGCCTGCAATGCAAGCTACTAAAAAAACAACTATGTATATATATTTCATGTTCTATCAATCTGGAGAGCAGATTCTCCCTGCTGTCAATCACCTCCTGGAGGCGGGCTTAACTTGGTGCCTCTCGAGAATGAAAGAGAGAGATCGCTCTCAAACTAAAGCTTGAAGGAATCAATAAAAAGAGGACCTTGGGCATGTGTATGAAGCTAAAGAGCGCTGTAATTATGTTTGAAGCAGAGAAAAGTCAAAATGTGTAGTATGGGACCTTTAAACGATGCTACAGAATTTGCCTGAGCTCCTCCACTGCCAAGGGATGATAATAATGTAATGTAGGGGTCCTTGGACTTTTCCAGACAATAGGCAAACAATTACATGTGCAGGCAAGACAAAGCGAGGCAAGTTTATATGTATAGCTCAGTTCATCCACAAAGCAACTCAAAGTGCTTAACAACATTAAGATTATACAGCTAAACAGAACTCTCTTTTTGGCCTGGATTTTTTTACACTGTCAGAGAAGAAGCTTGCCTCACTATTTCTGAAAGACTGTTCCATATTCTAGCTGCATAAATCTGAAATGCTGCCGCCCCATGAAAAAAAAAATTAGGCAAACTGATATCGATACGGAAGCAGTGATCCACATCCGATGCAGTTTCTCCTTCTTGTCTTTGTGACCAGTAAAACCACAGCGCTCCTCTCTCTGAAGGCCTGGAACAGCGAAGTGAGCGGTCAGCAGTCCCGCTCCGCTGCTCAGAGGCAAAGGTGGAAGTCAAACCTGCCTTTTTCAGCCCGCTCTGATGGACTTTAGTGGATCCAAAAGGCACAAAGAAATAGAGCCAGGAGGTCAAGCCAATATTACAAACTCAATTTCAGGTCAGAGTAAAAAACAAGTTATCACGACTGCAGACTGTTGGTCAAATGGACAGTTTGGATGATTCCTTGTGTGACTAAAGGCATTTTTTAGTTTTAAAGTCCTGGATATACAGCCTGAGTCCTGGGTCTACAGCCTGAGTCCTGGGTCTACAGCGTCAGACTGGATGTACAGCCTCAGTCATCGTTCTACAGCCTGAGTCCTGCAGGTCTACAGCCTGGGTCTAAAGCCTGAGTCTGTGGGAGCAGATCCTTCTCTCAGTGTGGGCCTCCATGAGGTTTCTATTTTTTCCCACTGCTTTTGTTATTGTCGTTTCTTGACAATAATGAACATTTTTGAACATTGGTCAGCTCCCTAAAGATGTGTTTTTTATTGTGACATTTGCTGTGTTTGATTCTCTGATCTGTGAAAAAATTTCAAAAATGACAGCGTGTTGTTATTTAAAACAATAAAGAATAAAATCAGACTTTGTGTAGCGTATTGTCAAATAACAGTTTTGTTTTGGTTTTATTGGTAATAAAACTATTGTACAAAATGTGACATTACATTTATATACTATTGAATGCACTGCAAGAATAACATTAAATAAAATCTTGACATAATGTTTTTTTTCAATAAATGTAATCAATAAACATGACTTGTGTAATTAAAATGTAAGACAATTATGAGCTGATTGGCAGATATTTTTTCAAGACAAAATATATTCCACAATCAAAGCAATTTTTATTTATTCATTTTTCATTATTTGCTCTTTGCTTACAGTTTTTCTTATTTTATCTTAAAGGGACAGTATGTATTATGAACAAAAAAAAAGTCCTTACAATCACACTTTTTTTGCCAGAATCTTCTAGCTGTGGCTAAGCACTGATAGTTTGTGAAAGGCGCTATACAAATAAATATTACTCACTTAGCAATACAATCCACCTGCTGGGCTTCACTACAAACATGCATTACGTATGAAAACTTAATTCTGCCCATGCTTTCATTTAAACATACATGTGATGCTAATGTTATTGCACAAGCTAGCAACCCCACTGCGAGCCACACTGCTCTCTGATTGGATAATCTACCGGAAAATCCTGAACATAAATTTTACGAACATCAAGTCTATTGTATTTTAAAAGAAGAAAGTTTTGTCCAGAACTGGTCAAGTATGATTTGACATCTGCCTGGGGACACATATTAAAGATGTAGCTGTAATTTAAAATGAAAATATGACACTGTCTCTTTAAATAATTGAATCCTTTGCGGTTTGCTAATTGAGGATTTGATTCAATTGCGATTAATCTTGCAGCCGTGTTGTTTAGCTTTACATTTGTGGAGGTTGGACTCGCTGCTTTAGTTTATGAGAATTTTAACAACAGCCGGTGCGACCCATAAACCTGTTTTTGTTGCATATTCTGCCAAATGTGTGCTTGATCCGCTCCTCTTTAGCCCGGAGCAGGATGTTCTGGCCTTGGCTGCCTCTCCGTGCGCTGGAAGCTCCTCTATATTTGATGCTGGACATGTTCAATTCATCAATGCAGTCTTTTTTATTCATTCACAGATAGTTCCAGCTCCAGCTCAGGAAACGTGGGCTAATGACTGTGACCCAGACGCTGGCCGGATCCGATTCAGTCGAAGAGGAAGAGAATCATTCAAAAGGGCTGGGTTTGCTATTTTTAACAAACTGGTGAAGTGTGTGTGACATGTGTTATTTGACAGAATAATGACATTACTCTCTGTGAAATAGGAACACATAGAAATTATAGTTTTACATCAATCAAGCTGTAGTTTGTGAAAAAAAGTAAGTAAGTTTCTTCCTGAAAATGTGAGACAGGCCTCTTCTCTGACAATATTTAATCCAGGTTAAGAACAGTTCTGTTTAGCTGTGCATACAACTGAGGGAGTTCATATTTTTAAAGGTATGCACTGCGATTTTTTATCATTTTAATGCAATCCTGTTTAGTTCAGCACTTGGAGTTGCCTTGTGTATGACTTGTGCTATACAAATAAAATTACCTTGCCTTGCCTAAGTCACTCCACACAGTGACGGAAGCGGGTCGGACCAAATGTACGTGTTTTAGTGGTATTCCCCAACCACTAAAACATGTACAATTATACCAGAGCACATAAAGGAAACCTACGCAGACACAGGGAGAACATGCAAAAACACACAGAACGACCCCGTCTGGAGGCGGGATCGAGGGGAATCCAAGGAGACTTCGAATTGAGGGTTAGGGTTAGGGTTATTAATTTTAAAAAAAGTGCCAAAATTGTTCAAATATTCAAATAAAATTGCCTTGTCATGCCTAAGCTTGCCGTGCACACATGATATAAGCTTTTTGGCGAATTCATGTTAAATGATGGTTTATACTGTATAACATGCATATACGGTGCATAACACAATACTGTAAAGAAAAAAATATCTAAATGTTTGCTGAATTTGAACAGAGAGGATTTCATTAATTAAGTGTAAAGGGTATAATCCATGGATGCTTTGTTTCAGGGCGTTCTGCTTCTCCGTCTGATAATCTGGACTGTCAGTCTCTGCATGTTTTTAGTTATGATGATTTCGTTAAAATACAAAGAGATAAAACTTCTTTTTTTTTAATTCTTTGCCAAGATATGCTTCACTTGGTCCCTGAGAATATATGTGTGAGCTGTTACTGGGATTTCTATGTCCCGTGTGAAATGGCATTGGGATTTTCGGACATCCCCACAAGGACTGAACCAGGTCTACTGCAGGACTGAGACGGGACTGAGACGGGACTGAGACGGGACTGAGACAGGACTGAGTTGGGACTAAAGCCGGAGTAAAGCCAGACTGAGATGGGACTGAGGTGGGTCTAAAGCAGGACTGAGATGAGACTGAGGTGGGACTAAAGCAGAACTAAAGCAGGACTAACACCAGACTGAGACCGGATTTAGGTGGGACAAAAGCAGGTCTGAGATGAGACTGAGGTGGGACTAAAGCAAGACTAGAGCAGGACTGAGACGGGACTGAGACAGGACTGAGTTGGGACTAAAGCCGGAGTAAAGCCAGACTGAGATGGGACTGAGGTGGGGCTAAAGCAGGACTAAAGCAGGACTAACGCCAGACTGAGACCGGATTGAGGTGGGACTAAAGCAGGACTGAGATGGGACTGAGGTGGGTCTAAAGCAGGACTGAGATGAGACTGAGGTGGGACTAAAGCAGAACTAAAGCAGGACTAACGCCAGACTGAGACCGGATTTAGGTGGGACAAAAGCAGGTCTGAGATGCGACTGAGGTGGGACTAAAGCAAGACTAGAGCAGGACTGAGGTGGGACTAAAGCAGGACTGAGATCAGACTGAGGTAGGACTAAAGCAGGACTAGAGCGGGACTGAGGTGGAACTGAAGCAGGATTAAAGCAGGACTGAGACAGGAATAAAACTAGATTTCAGCAGGACTGCAGCAGGACTAAGCCTCAGTGCAGCAGGTGGACCCTTGTACCACGCTGAAGACAGATTTAAGCAGAAACATCCTCGGCATAATATAACATCCATGTTCTGCCCTCACTGACTGCGGTGCTGCTACGCCCTCTAGTGGAAGATTCAAAAATTACTTATTGGAAAATAAACAAAACTTAACAAAGTTTATTGGAATTTAGTTGAATAATGGATATATACGAGCAAAGTACGCCATGTTATGAATAAGTGTACATTTATGAAAACATGGCTATTTAATAAAACATGATTAGATGTGGGCTCCTCATCAGTAATCATAGAGCAGGTGCGTGTGTTCCAACGTGCCTGATGCGCTGATCCTACTGTAGTGTCGCTGCTGTAGTCCTGCTGTGAGTCCCGCAGAGACCATGAACCAAGCCAGACCCTACATCGGCTGCAAGATAGCGCTCATCTCCAAGGCCCAGAACCGATATGTGGGCATTCTGTACACCGTCGACGTCCTCAGCTCCACGGTGGTGCTGGCCAAAGGTAAGCGCGCGGCCCGGGACTGGACTGGGCGGACGCATGAGGACAGAGAGGACATATGGATTCCACAAACACTGTTTAGCTCTCAAAGTAAACTTTCAAAACAGTTGGATTTCACATGTATCTTTTATCCACCATCTCTCCCTGAAGCGTCATGACAGGGCTCTTTAAAAACGTGTCTGACGAATTTCAGTAAAAGATATTTGAGTTTGTTTGAGTTGAGTCGATTTATGTATGTTTTTGTTGTTCTGGACCTCTGAGAGCACGGGAATTTGTTGTTGATGGTATCTTTCTTTTAACTCAAACACTTTTTTTCTTGCACAAAGTTCTCATCTGCAAGAAAAAAGGTTATTGCACAGGAACCTTTCTTCTTTTTAGTAACAGTTCCCACAGTACAGAGATGTTTCCAGACTATAGTGATGCTACAACAAAGTGCTGCATCTTTAAGTTTAGGTTGGCAACATGTTTATGTTGTAATGGAAAACCTGGCCAACAGCTGAAAGAGCAAAACCATTCCAATGACTGTTTTATGTATGTGTTTGGTAATGTGGGGTGTTTATACATTATATTTATAGCCAAGGCTGATTATGGTTGATCCTAAAATAGCATTAAACATTACATAGTTTTACAAAGGCAGGTGGTCTCACAACATTTTATACTGGGCTGGATTTGAAGAAAGATTCCTTAAAACATTAAGGAATCTTTCTTCAAAACCAGCCCAGTATAAGTTGAGTTGAAGATTTTGAGTTCCAGAGCTTTAAACTGAACGTTGACTGTTGGAACCGGTCTCAACATGATTTAGTTTACTGTAAACTTGTTATGGACAAAGCTAAAAGTAAATGACACATGACCACGACAATCGCCCTAACTATAATAAAATGCACACATTGGCTGCATCACCAAAAACCAGAGTTTGAAGAAAAGAGAGAGTGGCTTCTAGTCCAGCAATGTTGGTATTGAATGGCCTAAATTTTCATCTGTGAATGTTATTGTTGGAAAGCCAAAGAAAAACTGTTGCCTGAAGCAGTTCAAGAGCGGTTCAAATGAATGTCAGACTCGGAACCACGGAAGGAAGTATCATCTCAGAACAGCATTTACAAAGTGTGTGTGTGTGTGTGTGTGTGTGTGTGTTATGAAACGCTCAGGGATATGGTGAAATGTTGTTCAAATATCTTCCTTTTAAAAACCAATTTTTGAGAAGGGGAAAAAGATACTGATGGGTACATATGGTTTTTGTTTTGCTTCCTTCTGTTCCTGTTTGTTCTTGCTGCACAAAATGTATAGACAAACTTTAGGATGTATGTGATATGAAAGGATCTAATAAAAAAAACTCTTAATTTGACCGCTCTTGTTTTTTTTAGTGAAGTGTTTTGGGACGGAGGGGCGCCTCACGGACAGACCCACGCTGCGCAGAGACGATGTATACGAATTCATCACATTCAGAGGAAGCGATATCTCTGACATCAGCCTGTGTGAGCCCTCCCCGACCATATATGGGTTTCCTCCAGACCCTGCCATTCTGCTGGTGCGTATAGCCAAAGTTATATGGTCCCTGCTGTCACGTTTAAAAGTGTTTTAACATTATTGCATGTGCAGTCCTCCCCTGCGTGTGTGCCGGACGCTCACGCCACCCTGAATCTTGGAGCAGTGAAAGTTCCAATTTACCACAAACCAGCTCCGCCGCTTCACAATGAGCATTATGCAGCCGCTCTGGGCATAGGTAAGACATCTCCAAATATACACATTATCGTGACTTGCACTTTTTTTTGGACACTCAAAGATGCTCCATGTCATTATTCATTCACTCTATACACAACGTTGATAACCAGCTGCCCTGGGTCACACTGACAGAAGTGAGACAGCCAGTATGTGCCAACAACCACTCCGCAGCCGCCCCACTGTAGCACCTGGTGTTCCCAGAGGTCTCCCATCACAGTACTAACTAGACGGTGCCCTGCTTAGCTTCCCGAGCTCCGAGGGGATCTTGCTTTTACGTGCAGGTGGAACCACGTTGGAGCAATTGTACCTGGATTTTGCGGCTTATAAAGCAACGCAACCAATGTATATACTTTTTTAGTGGTAGATCTGGGCACATGAACTTAGTTATAGGATTCCAAACATGGAAGCTCATGGTTGCGTTCACGGCTTGTTTATTTTTTTATTATTTCCTTTTCCATAACGTCTGAAATAAATTCTCACCACACTATGTTTGCCTCCTCAGATTTCGTTGTCATTTACTTTAAGCTTGGTCTATAACAAGTCAAGTGTTAAAGCTCCTCTCATTAGATCTTGTTAGCACTTTTTTTTTTCTTCCATCAGCCGTTAATATAAACCTGCAGCTTATATTAAAGTGTAACCTGTGTGTAGACCAGACTTGTTCTAACTGATGCAGCAGCTCAAGTCCTGACTAGAACCAGGAAGTACGACCACATTAGTCCAGTCCTCAGGTCTCTGCACTGGCTTCCTGTGGCTCAGAGAATAGACTTTAAAACAGCTCTGCTTGTGTACAAGTCTCTCCATGGCCTCGCACCAAAATATATTAGTGACATGTTAGTCCCATATGAACCAGCCCGGACTCTGAGGAGCACAGGGACTGGACTCCTGTTAGTGCCCAGAGTCAGAACTAAACATTGGGAGGCTGCTTTTCAGATTCATGCTGCTAAAATCTGGAACAATCTTCCTGAAGATGTGAGACAGGCCTCCTCTCTGACAATGTTTAAAACCAGGTTAAAGACGGTTCTGTTTAACTGTGCATACAACTGAGGGATTTTATATTTTTCTTTCTTTTAATGTTCTGTGATTATTTATGATTTTAATGCTATCTTGTTCAGCATCTTGTTGCCTTGTGTATGAATTGTGCTATACAAATAATCTTGCCTTGCCATGTCTGTCCAGGTGCACCTCTGAAGCGTCCCGTGGTGGAAAAGGGCGTCCAAACTATCGGCAGTGAGAGAAACAAACGTATATTACTGGGCTCCGATGAGGAGTGGGAGCAGAGTGCCTCTCCGGCCAGAGCCTCGTACAGACACCCCCAGATCAGGCAGCCGGTCAGACCTCCATCAAGACCCCTGCGAGACAGAGAGCCCCCTCGCCCCCGGCCTCCTCCCATCAACAGTAAGTGTGGAAACTTCTACAGATATGGATTTAAAATGATTGTTATTACTGTTTCAAGTTAGGGGAGGTCCGCGCTTCCCTCCATCTCGACCGGAGCGTCCGTACCGGCAGAACTTGGAGAACGTCCCTCCGAGGATGAGGCAAGGTACTGGTAATGAAGTTTGTAGGCTTTGAAACACTTTGGTTTTGTCACAGCAGGAAGAATAATCGGCCTTGTATCATTGGTTCAGAAAATAGATCTGGGAATTTCAATAATTTATTTCTATAGCACAGTTCACACAGAATGCAACACACAGTTCTTCACATCGAAAACGTTTAAAACAAATTAAGAATATGGTGATGAACGCAAAACTTAGAGGCCAATGGCGTTCTACTCCCTAAATGACGTCTCGGAGGACTTTACAAGGTTGTCGATTAACTAATAACAGATCAAAGAATCTAACTGAGGAAATGCAATAAAAACAAACGCATACAATAGGAGCCATTGAGGGCGGTATGACCTCTCATCTTCAGCAGAGCTCAAACAGTGGTTAAGATCCTGACAGACTGGTTCTCAAGTGTAAATTATGTTGTAATTCTGTTAAATGTATTTTGTCTTCTGCACTGTAAAAAAACCCCTGTGGGCTAGTGTTGAAAATTAGCACCAATGTTATAACACTCACAGCAATGCATCTGGTTCGTCCAATGTTATGTCCATATTCAATAAAAAATAAAATGTATCTTGCAATACCTTGTTAATGTTTTGGCTGCAGATTTGTATCTACTTAGTTGCCAGATATGCACATGAATTCAGCTGGGACCACAATCTGAAGAGTCTATAATCTATAACCAACACCTTTTTGATAAAGGTTTTCTGTTGAAAGTTGAAAAACTAAGGCAAACTTATAATGACCGGAATCCTGTGAACTAGTTAAATGGCTGACGAGCCTTTTTGAAGTGATGAGGTTTTTGTTTATTTTCCTGCAGGTTCTTGGAGAGGCAGTAACCGTCGCTCTGATGGGCCGCTGAGGTTTGACGCAGACTTTGATTTTGATTTGTCAAATGCACAGTTTTTCAAGGACCACGATAACAAAGGTACATTCAGAGTGAAGGGTCTTTTCAAATGCCAATTATTCATTATACATATTTCTATGCAGAAGTGCGTGAAGTCATAATGGAGGAGCCCATCGACTCGCCCTTTGATCCTTTTGGGCCAAAGTGTGTCTATAACAAAGCCAAGTCTTTCTACGACAACATGTCCTCTCCCTCTGAGCAGAGATTAAGGTCTGCTCAACTTCTTTAAAACACTTTGTTTCTGTTTGGGCACACGTTTGGCCATATCGGAGATTTGAAGTGATTGTTTCTGTTCGTGTGAAACCACTTATCAAATGAGCATGTTCACAATGTCCAAACAATGACATTAGAAACTCTTCTCCTGAGCCGGATTATTCAAAGCAAATACCAAAGCAAAAGACTGGTTTGTGAGTTCCTGTTATTTACAATGCCAGTGAAAAGAATTCTGATCCTGATCTGACGGCAGCAGTTGTGGATGAGGTTCTGTATCCTCTCCGATGGTAAAGCTGCATATTCTTTTTGGCAAAGTTCTCCAGTTCCTCTTGTGCAAAAGCAGCCAGTAACATCTGAACACTTAAAAACGCAGAACAAAAGTTTTGTAAAGGGCAAAACCAGATAAGTGCCATTGGTATATGTTACTGTAAGCCTTTCCAATATATTTTCTAAGTTTTTTTGAAAAGCTATGTTCGTGCCATACACCCAGCATGACTTCATGACCAAATACTTTCCAATTTACTGAATCACAAACCATTTCACTTGCATTAGGACTGAAAACCCGGCACTACCATTGACACTGTTTCTTTGATTGCCACTTTTGAATTGCCACTTTTTATTGTACGTAATATATCCTGCATTTAACATGTTTGTGCAATCTTGAGTGTTTCTATCAATGCCAGATGTGACGTGTAAATTTCTCCTGTGTGAGATCAATAAAGTCTATCTTATCTAATTTTCACGATTTAAATAAATACACACTGAAACAACTCTAAAGTGCAATATAATGACAGCTTTTGTTTTCTTTTCACTATCTTTAATTTCTCTGAGGACATTTATGGACTCGCACAATCACTGATGATGAGTGAGGGGAAAGTCTTTGTGTTTATTATTAATAATCTCAAATATGGCCTGAACAAAAACATTACTGGCATGTGGTTTACGACCGTTTTGTTTTCAATAAGCGTGTGTGTCTGTGTGTGTGCGCGCAGGTCGTCATGGGCAGAGGAACGCCAGCGCAACATGGAGACATTCGGGACGTCCGGCTGGCCCCCGAGGAGCCCAGGCTTAAGGGGAGGTCAGGGCAGGGGAAGGGGGCAGAGGTCTGGACAAGGAGTCTTTGTTTACTGAATAAGTCTGTCCCAACACGCCTCATTTAGTCTTTGTGAGTTTAAGAATATGAATGTTCTGTGGTTTAAACGTAATAAAGAATTATAATAATGTGAATAGCTGTGGTATGCAATGTTTTTAATGTTGTTCAAAGAAAGTCTCAGTAATTAAACTGAATCGCACTAGTTTCGGAATTTTTTTGTCTACCTCCTATAAAATAAATGCACCTTATAATAAATCTGTCGTCCTGAAGATTTTTGAATCCAGCTTGTGCAATTTAATAAGCTTGTTTGTGTAAAGATGGCGATCATAATGGTATAAGAATAGCCTTTTAATCTACTTTTTGAAGCAGAAATTAAAAACACATGTCCATTTTTGACTGAGTTAAAGGACAATTGAACATGGCAGTTATAAACTTGCAGCTACAGGTTATCTAAAATTATATTAGCCGATGTTTATGTTAAGTATGTTAATCTTCATTTATAGGCCATTCAGACAGACATAAAGTGCTTTACATTTTTTGTGTGCATTCGTCCTCTTGCTCCATAGAGAGGACTGGGATCGCCATAGAGGAGGTGCAACTAATTTACTGTAGGTGGTAGGGGAAACCAGAGGAAAACCTTTTAAACATGGGGAGAACATGCAGACTCCACACAGAAGGGCCCAGTCTGAGGTGGAATCAAACCCTTGCTGTGAATCACAAGCGTTAACCACTGCTCCACTGTCTTTAAAGCTGGGTTACTTGTTTTATCTTCACCCTTGGTTTCAACAGTCTGATTGGTTGAAAACATTTCATTTTTACCAGACCGGAAAACAAGACTATTTTCTTGTCATTAATCTTTTGTGTACTAGTAAGAGCCCTGTCGCAATTTATGTTTTAGGCTGAGTGGCAAGTTTATTTACGTAGCACAATTCATACACATGGCAACTTAAAGTGCTAAAAAAAACATTAAAATCTTAAATGATCACACTACCTAATAATAAAAAAAAAAAAACCCTGCAAATATTATCCTCCACAGCAAAACAATTTTCAAACTTTGTTGAATTAAACATTGTCTGAGGAGAGGCTTGCCTCACATGTTCAGGAAGACTGCTCCATATTTGTTATTTCTGATTCCCTAAGGCTGGTCCTCTTTCATATGTTTGTCTGAAAAATCTGTGAAAGAAGCCAACAATACATGCATGTGAAAACTATAGTAAGCCCATCTGTATTTTTGGGCGCGAGGAAATTGAGCTTTGAAAGTCAGGTCCCCCAGCTTTAATTCAGCCACTGACGAAGCCCGTGTGAGGAGCGCAGCATCCGGACTGTACCACCGCAGAGGCGCCGGGGTCCATCGCGGCTGCTCTTGCACACGCACAGCCTCCTCTTCCTCTTGCACTAAACCCAACTCTTCACGTACATAAGAACTTGTGGGACTCTGGGGCGCACCGTGCCGTTCTAAACGTGCCCGTCTCTGGCGTGGAACAGTCCTCGGTGACGTGACGCCTCCTTCCTCCTGCGTGATGGGGATGAACTCTGAGCAGCGCTGGAAGACTTCGCCCTGGATCATGCACTAGAATAAAAAGCACACATAGTATATTTTCTTTATGACAGCATGTCGGTGGCGTTCTCATCCGTGCGCCCCAGGACCAAGGCCGAGGTGACGCCGCAGACGATCCAGAAGGTCGGTCTGTCTGTGCCGTGTTTGTGTGTGTGTGTGTGTGCGCTCAGACGCGTCTAGTACTGACTGTGCTTGGGATTGGCAACATTAGGATGAATGTTTACAGCGTGTGAGCCCACCCGTGCGTAAGTCTTTTGGCTGTAGTAAAGGCATAAGGCAGATTTATTTATATAGCAAATAATAATACAAATATATTATTTGTTCAAACATACGGCAATACGCAAAGTGCTGAACAAAACAAGTTAGAAACAATCACACAAAGCGTTCAAATTAAAAATAATCACAGCACATGAAAAAGAGTAAAGGTACAATCAGTTGTATGCACAGCTAAACAGAACTGCTTTGGATTTGAACATGGTCAGAGAAGAAGCTTGTCTCATATTTTTGGTAAGACATGATCCAGATTGTAGCTGCATGCTGCATGTAGCTGTAGTGTTGCCCTGTGCAGGAAAAGCGCCCTATAAATAAAGATTGATTGATTGATTGATTGATTGATGAATCTGAAATGAGCCTCCCCATGTTTAGTTCTGACTCTGGGCACCAGCAGGAGGCCAGTCCCTGTGCTCCTCAGAGTCAGAGTTGGTTCATATGGTACAAACATGTCACTTATGTACTTTGGTGCGAGGCCATGGAGAGACTTGTAACAAACAGCTGCGTTAAAGTCTATTCTCTGAGCCACAGGACGACAGTGCAGAGACCTGAGAACTGGACTAATGTAATCTTACTTCCTGTTTCTTGTCAGGACTCGGGCTGCAGTGTTTTGCAGTGAACTCGCTCCTCTGATAGTCAGTGCCATGTTGTGTTGTGCACATATGCAATGCCACGAGCAGCAGTCTATAGACAATACCCAAGACGCACTGTTGTGTTTATAATGGACTCTGAGCTTTCATGGGTCCAGAGGGACGTGTCGGACTGATGCTTCTGTCCTTGACCGACCTGTGAGCGCAGGTCTGTCCTCTGCACAGGCTCGGACAGAGTAGATTATGATTAAGACATCCTTTGATTGTCCCACAGCGGGTCAGTGTTGCATCACATGGAGTGAGGAGCACACAACATAAGATAAGATAGACCTTGTTGATCTCACACAGGAGAAATTTACAAAGTGAATGTTAAGTATAGCACAATTCTATACTTACAATCAAATACAATCTCAAACTTTAGCTCAATAAAGATCCAAAGTATGAACATAACAATCTGTTTTGTGACTTTTGACACCAATAACCCGACCATTAACCCTCACCCGGTTTATTCTAAAGAGAAGATCTAATTTTGCTCAAAGTAGTATGAGAAAATGGATGGACTGATGGATAGTATAGTAGTATAGTAGTAGGTCATTCTGGACTCTCCTAGAAATACATTACTGGTCGGTGGTCACTAATGATAATAATAATAATGCAACAAACGCATATGATGCTTTTTGGACACTCAAAGACACTTTACAAAATGCATGGAAAATTAGTGAAGTGAGACTGGGTTTGAAAGACCACGACTCGATGCTCAGTGACTTGTGAGTGTACTCTCTTTCTCAGATGCTGGATGAAAACCACCACCTCATACAGTGCATAATGGACTACCAAAGCAAAGGCAAAACTGCTGAATGCACACAGTAAGTGACAACAACACAATATGCATCTAAACTATACTTTACTTTCTACATATTATTTTTCTTGGAACTTTTACTGTTATTCCTCACTTTTAAACCCTAATATCTGTATTGCTTACCTTTTGAACTGACTTGCTACTTTGCAGGTGGCGATACAACATGAAAACAGGTTTGAAGTGGTTAGTCATGCTTCTAAGTGAATTAATTTATGTTGGTTAGGAGTGCTTCTATGTTCAAATAACCATTGGCAATAGCAATATACTCTACAACAGTGTAATGTATGTGTTTCAAAGGCTTAAAATGTCTCAAATAGGCATTTTAGCCTCTATTTTTCTTTCGGCCCATACTTTCCACTTCCCACATCTTCTCAGTAACCATTTGCAGCACTTCAATTTTCACCTGGCCGGTCCTGCAAAAGATGACATGAGCACAATGATGGAAACTGAAAGAACCAATAATTTTTGCACATAGATAGATCGGTTGATGGGTAGGTTGGTAGGTGGGCGGGCAGGTAGACATGTTTGGGTGAATGGATGGATAGATGGATGAGAAAGTAGATAGATGGATGGATAGACGAGTGGATGGATGGGTAGGTAGATAGAAAGATGAGAAGATGTGGTGGGAGGATGAATGGGTAGGTAGGTAGAAAGAAAGATACTAATTTTTCTATCTACCTACCAACCCCTAGATAGAAAGATAAGTAGATGGATGGATGGATGGGTAGATGGATGGATAGGTAGGTAGGTAGGTAGGTAGGTAGATAGATAGATAGATAGACAAGTGGAAGGATGGATGGGGCATAGATAGATACAGTAGATAGATAGATAGATAGATAGATAGATAGATAGATAGACAAGTGGAAGGATGGATGGGGCATAGATAGATAGATAGATAGATAGATAGACAAGTGGAAGGATGGACGGATGGATGGGGCCTAGATAGATACAGTAGATAGATAGATAGACAAGTGGAAGGATGGATGGGGCATAGATAGATAGATAGATAGACAAGTGGAAGGATGGACAGATGGATGGGGGTGGGTAGATGAATAGAAAGATGAGTAGATGGGGTGGGTGGATGGATGAATGGGTAAGCAAGTAGATAGATGGATAGATAGATGAGTGGATGGATAGATGGGGTGGGTGGATGGATGAATGGGTAAGTAAGTAGATAGATGGATAGATAGATGAGTGGATGGATAGATGGGGTGGGTAGGTAGATAGATACTTTATTGATCCTCCATCTGAAAATACAGGTGTCCAGCAGAAGAAAGACGTCTGTACTTGGTGCCTATGAGACTATAGTACCTGTGTTTGCCGAGATGCTCAGTCCAACTTCTGTTCATGTTGTTGACAGATATCAGCAAATCCTGCACAGAAACCTCGTGTACTTGGCCACGATAGCGGATTCTAATCAGAACATGCAGTCGCTCCTACCTGCTGTGAGCTCCACGCACTCTGTTCATCATAATTATTCTGCAGAATGAATATTAGTTGTAATTGCGTGTATTGTGTGCAGCCTCCCACTCATAACATGGGGATGGGTCAGAGCGGTGCACAGACTTCAGGGAATGACAACATGGCATCAGGGCTGACGGCTGCTTCCATGATCCAGGGTAATGGTGAGTGTCCTGTGTCTACCATGTCTTTACTGCATTTATTTATCCATGTTTTGATTTATTCTTTAAGGTAGAAAGGTCCTTTTTTTTGTCCAACAGAGAGGAATTGTCGGTATTTTCAGTGACAGATAGAAAGTACTCAAAAAGACAACTTAAACCACTGAATAAAAAATTGTTTAGAAAAAGTTCTCAAAAATAGGCTCTAGTCCGATTGAATTTATATTAAAAAAATATGGTTCCCAGATAACACGTCATATCATAATAACCTTTTTCTGAACATTATTATTATTGTTATTTTTGTTATTTTATTTATTTTTTAGGGCGTGGCACAATCAGTTATTGAACAGAGCAGACATAGTTACTTTTCGTTCGTAGTCCCTGGGCAGAGGCAAAGGGAAAGCATATTTACAGTGTGCAAAAAATCTATTAATTAGATGGCTGGGGAAATAAGGTAAAAACGTAGCACCTTTTTTACACGACACAGTTTATACAATACATACGACACATTATTATTCACAATCTGCTTGATGGCTGCACATGTGATAATCTTTAGACTGAACTAACAGCTCCACTCCCTCACAGACCGTAGTGAGGAGGTCCAGGCTCCTGCTGCTCTGACAGAGAAGTCGTTCTGTCCAAATGACAAGGACCTAAAGTTTACATAACAGTCTCAGCACGAGGCTGTAATGTTCTATGTCAATGCCACGGAGGCGGATTTTATCTGCTTTATGATGATGCCAATAATAGTGCAGTTTTACTTATGAAATATGCATTGTTCAAGCTTTGTTCAGACTCAGATGATAAAAGCTGATTTATTTATTCTGTCCTCACAACCTGGTTCCAAATGACCCACAGTTTGGTACTGGGCCGCAGACCGGGGATTGGGGACCACTACTTTAGAAGAGTCGACACACCATCCACTCCCACTGTTGTCTCGGGCCGACAGCATTTCAACACGGGTTGCAAATCACTGCAGTTTGTAAACACCTACAGATTGTGCTTGAAAGAATGGGAAAATATTCAAATACTGTATAGACTTACTACTTTCAATTCAAATATATGTACGCAAATAACACCTGACCCACCCCTGCCCTGCGCATAACAATTTGCATCATCATTTGTTGCCATGGCTGCACTCCCGGCTGCACTAACGCGTCGCACTGAAGATGAGCTGAAAGTGCGTTGGAACCTGGATCCATTATAGGCCACATCCACACTCTCATGCGGCAGTCTATCCAGGCTCATCCTACCGCTCCAGGCTCTTACAGTCACCCTGGGACCCCCTCCCAGAGCAGTATGGAGGGGCCCGGTTCTGCTTATGCCTCCTCTTCATCCTCATCCTTCAACCTCAGCAACCTCAGCTCACAGCCAAGCCAAGGTGAGCCAGGCGCCATCAGGCCAGACAAAAGGGTGACGCTAGGAACTAATTATGGAACTCGCTTGGGTAACCCTAACCCTAATGGATCCCCGACCCAATGCTTAGGTCAGATTATGTAGAAATCTTACACATCAGGAAAGAATGAAAAGAGATGTAGTTAATTATTTTTCGTTTACGTAATTGTGTAGGAAGTACTGTATGCATAGACTGTTCTAACTGAGGCATATTTTTTTTCATTACGAAAAAATTTAACTCATACTGGCCTTTCTTCGTCCCACAGTGCGGAAATATCAGTGTTGCGTCACAAGTTAGAGAACAGTTGGAAACCGAGATATTTCAAACAGCCTATAGATGGGTCCTTTGACTTCCTCTTCAAAACCCGGTGATACCTGTCCTCTCATTTTCAGTTAATCACATTTATTTATTTTTGAATGTTTACAACACAAACGCATCGAACATAAAAGAACCAAACAATACCTAAGAAGTTTTGAAAATACAATTTGCGTACAGTACGTCCCAAATCTCGTACTGTACATAATAATATCATACAAATGTCTCCTGCGGGAATCTATCTCAGAATGAGAATCATTTTTTTTGCCATGTAAGTACCAGGAAGTCACAGTCTCTAGGGAATAGAATGAGGCATAATAGAATAAGCATAATAGAATAAGAATAATTAGCATACACTTCTACGGTATAAAATTAAAAATATAATTATTAATACGATGATAATTACAGTCACTATGTACAATATACCTTCCTTAGCTTGTCTTCTTTGTAGAAAAAAAATTGGCTTTTGTTCTTCTATACCAGACAACAGTATCGCTAACTTACTGTTGTCTGGTATAGAAAAAAAACAAATACTTTTATATCTATCTATCTATCTATCTATCTATCTATCTATCTATCTATCTATCTATCTATCTATCTATCTATCTATCTATCTATCTATCTATCTATCTATCTATCTTATACACAGTGATGCTGATCCACTTTTCTCTCCTCTCCCCAAACACTCCGGTGCTTTGCTTTGCCTGTGTACGTAATTACAGCACCGACCTTGCCTGCGCCGCATCTATGTAAAGATCTTTGAATATATTAGAAGCTGCTCTTGACCCTGTTTGGCTTTTCCCCGCTGGCTTAATAAAGTGCGACCTTCCATAATTGCTTCATGATTAGACCGTTTAATCAGTGTGCCTGCTGTATGTCTTATGCAAGTGCTTTACGTTCACTGCACGGTTTCGGTCGGATAAATTAGGCTTTTAGAGGTGGGCCACGTGCAGCTCCAGAAATGTTTGATGTTTGCTGATGACAATATTTTGCTGACGCATGCAATCAAATGTTTTAGTTGTGTTTTACAGTTTTTCTCGGTCGCTTTGGTGCATTTCTCACATCACTCTTCACATTTGCACAACTGTTGGTGCATTTCTCAAAACAATTAGTGTAAACTGCAGAACCTCGTGGATAACCTGCAAAAGTGCGTCACTTTCTCAAAATGAAAAGTTTTTTCCTCAAAAGCAAGTCCAAACGTTAATGAAACTGTCTATGTCGTCAAAATAATATGTCCTAACAACATTGAGTATGAACATCACAGTCAAATGACTTAGTTATGTTTTCATTGTGAAAGTTTACTCTCTGTGTTTTCAGTGTAAAAAAGTCAGATCTCGGAGACACTTGAGCACGACACACTATACACGACCTGTGCAGCCATTTACAGTAAAAACTACAGTAAAGTTACACAAAGACTGTATTTAGAGACGTAACTGACATATATGTATGTATGTATGTATGTACTGTATGTATGTGTGCGTGTGTGTGTATCTATGTATGTATGTATGTACTGTATATATGTATGTGTGTGTGTATCTATGTATGTATGTATGTACTGTATATATGTATGTGTGTGTGTATCTATGTATGTATGTATGTACTGTATATATGTATGTGTGTGTATCTATGTATGTATGTATGTACTGTATGTATGTATGTGTGTGTGTATCTATGTATGTATGTATGTACTGTATGTATGTATGTGTGTGTGTATCTATGTATGTATGTATGTACTGTATGTATGTATGTATGTATGTATGTGTATATCTATGTATGTATGTACTGTATGTATATGTATGTATGTATGTATGTGTACTGCATATGCTCTTTGTATTTGTGTTGCACAATGCTGTAGAAGTGCAGACACATACATGTATATACATAGAACAAACATACAGAAATATCATTATGGTAGAACTGTGACAAAAATAAACAATAAAGCACACCTCAGAGTGAAGCTGAAATTCACCTGAGATAAATTGTTCAATTTAGGAAATATTTACAGGAAAAAAAAGATAAAGGAATGTATGAAATTAGCTTGACAGTTATGATTTTGAGAACTAGTTCAACAATTTTGTATGTGATGACCAAAGCGATGAAATGAGAACAGTTAGTTTTATAGTGAATGACTATTCAGAAGTCATAAGTATGTTTCATTCTGACTGACAGGACAGAAGCAAATGATAAGGTTAAAAAAACGCCGAGAATTGTTTGAAAGTTATTGATACATGAACGAAAGCATTTGAAATGTGTTCAGAGGAATGAAAAACTGCCATGATCATGTGCACCAATGACCCAATGTTGTGGAGGTTGAACTAATAGTTTTGAGAAGTTTAAGTCTGATGTGAGAAATGCACCAAAGCAACTGAGAAAAACTGTAATGTGGGCCTAAGGACGGTGATGAGGACATTTAAGGACATTTATGGACAGTGGTCATCCTGTGGATATATGGCTCCTAGTATAGTTTTTTATTATACATTTCCTGCGTCTGAACTCTTTGATCTGTCTCGGAATCTGCAACGTCCGACTCTGAGACAACAAAAATAAAAGTAAATGAATTGAAAAGACTAACATTAACAAATACACTCTTGTTTTAATATTAGATCTGGATTTTCTTGCTTCAAACTGAAACAAAACCTCTCAGATTATAGCAATTGATTTTAAACAAACACCTGTAGGGGAAACTCAAAATAAGATAAGATTGGAATATCATTTTTTGAAGAGTAGGCCATAGTTAATTGTTCATTGTGGACAAATTGTTTACAATGGATATTTTTGAGAAAATTGAAATATGAGCTGTTGAACTAGTACAAACGTTTCTCAACATGTTTTTACTCCAGTACAATACGGTAAATCTTTAAAAGAACTCTTGGTATTTGCTCAGAAAATAATAAAATTTGTCTTTGATTTGTGTACATGTTGACTGTTCTTTGCTATTTATTTAAAATCGTAAAGAACAGAGTATGTGCGTGCTTCTAGGGCAGTGGTGGGCAAACCCTGGCCCGTGGGCCAGATGTGGCCCTTTGAATGCTTCTATCAGGCCCCTGGGCCCTCCTCAATTTATATAGATTAAGATTAAGATCAAAAGAATTTTGGATTAAGAACATTTATTCATCCTGCAATCGGGTAATTTCAGTTTAAACATCATACAATCCCCCTCTGTGCTGTGTGCAGAGCTATTTTATTCATATGAAGTTTATAAACCATACATTTATGTTTTAAAATGAAGCCTGAGAAAAACATTGGAATATCAGACGGCTGTCGGACCTAATTTCCAATGTGGCCCTTAGGAGGAAAAGTTTGCCCATGTCTGTTCTGGGGTATGAAAGTGAAACAATATAAATGGGTAACTCATATGAACAGTGAGAAGCAGGTCACACATAAAGTGAAGATCTTATAAGAGTCTTATTTTCTTTGAATGTTGTTATTTTGTTTGCTCTACTGTCTGCTTTTCTGCATCTGTCATGTAATGCAATTTTGAGATTCCCCTTGAAAACAAGATGATGCATCTCAAGGGGCTTATCCTCCAAACAAATAAATAAGATATAGATAAGTGGAATGTGAAGCAATAGGTCTGAGGCACTCTGAGGTGAAGGCTTTATATGATGCTTTTGGACATCTTCATTCACCCCATACAGTGTGATCAACTACTACTGTAGACTTAGCTGCCCTGGGGCACACTGACAGAAGCGATGCAACCAGTATGTGCCATCGGCCCCTCCGACCGCACCACCAACTATTCACACACACACCAGACTCATTCTAGGCAATATGGGTGAAGTGTCTTGCCTAAGGACACAACCATAGTTTGGCCCTTTACAGCTGCAGCCGCCCACTGTGGCATCTGGAGTTACCTAAAGGTCTCCCATCACAGTTCAAATCAGGTCCTGCCCTGCTAAACTTTAGAGGTCTGATGGGATCTGGCTTACATTGCCACAATATGGTATGAGTGTAGCTACATTTTGATCTGATTCCCTAATTTTAGATAGTTTTGTAATACATTATTTTTTCTTTAAACAAGTCATTACTTGGGGCTAAAAAAAAAGACTTAAAACCTTTTTGAGTTTTGCCACAGACTGTTTTGAATCTTGTCCAATCGTTTTCTATTGTGGTGAATCCTGCAGCCCTGTTCTTTGCACATGCATAATTATGGAAGGTTAGTAACTTCAGTGTTACTAATGTGCTTTCAGTGTCCATGATGCAGCAGCAGCAGCAGGGAGCTCCTCACTACTCCTCAGCCCAGGTGGGAGGGCCTCATTATCAGGGACAGCCCATGGGGATGATGGCTCAGGGCAGTCAGGGCAACAACATGCTGTCCCAGAGGCAGATGGGAAACTACCGCACACCCCAGCCAGGTAACACCATCACCCAACACTGTGCTATTGTGTTTGGTTCTCTGTGTCTCACACCTTAGGGCGGGGGTTGAAAAACACTATATGTACTGCAGAGTATCCCTTCTCAGCCCTAGTCTACTCTACTACCACAACACACCAGTATCAATGTAAATTATTTCAGTGTGGCTTCCAGCAGCACTCTGGACAATCTCTGTTACTTGGTTCCAGCTCAGCCTTGACAGAACCAGGGCCAAGCTGGTACTAAAAAATTACCTGGTACCAGTTATACAAGGGCCGGTGGAAATGCTCCCGAGTAGAGTAAAGTAGAGTACAGAGAAGAGTAGAGTAGAGTACAGAGTAGAGTAGAGTAGAGTACAGAGTAGAGTAGAGTAAAGCAGAACAGAGTAGTAGAGCTGGGGGAAACAGGTATGTTATGAATTGTGTATGTTGATCAATTTTATTCTTGTGTGTATTATTGTGTTGTGTGGGTGAGAGGAGGTTGGGATGATTAAAGTGTCTGTTCATCCAGTGGGGGCGGGTCCTTGCTCAAAAATGTCCAAAATGACATGCTGCATTACCACACCAGGCATTTTCTTACCTCTCGAACAAGTCTTTACAAGATGGTCCAAAAGTCAGCTCTTGGCCCAAAGCTGCGTTCCACATATGTGTCGATGCTGAGGGGGGTGAATTTTTTTGGACCAGTCTAGTTTAGCCGCTGTGAATTTTTGAAACTGTACAGATATGAGGATGTGAAATTGTGTTCTGCAGGTTAGAAATTAATCATCTAACTCTCTAACTAGAACAGAATATATTTGTTGTAACAAAAGTTGAATTAACATGAGAAAGAAATACAAGTTTTTAAAACCAAAATATTCCAAAATGATAAACTGGGCTGGAGAGGCTAAACTGGCAGTTTGCAAAGCCTGGACCACAAAAATCAATCTGGCAACATGACATAACTACTGAAATATGAGCTGTAAAGTTTGAACAATGCTATGATTTTTTTAAGCTGCTGGTCCATTTATTGCTTTAAGATTAAAACTGGAACTATTTTGCAAAGACCTTGAATATTTGAACTTTTTTGCAGATTCTACATCAATACATATGCACTGGAAGTTGTGTGACTTGACAAAAGAGTGTATTTCATTGTGACTGTTATTGTCAGCACGTGCCTAAGAATAGCCCCAGTCATCAACATGACCCTGAAGGATGTAGTGGAGACAAATGTACTAACAGAATGAGAGGCTGTTTCTACGGCAACAGAGAGGATGTAAGTCTGCTCCGTGAGAAAGAAGTATGTTCCAGCTTCTTCATGATCACTGCCAGCTCGATGCATGTGTTGTTGTGGCTGTTCACAAGAACCATCACCAGGAAATGCCTGACTGCAACTCCTCCAACATTAAAGGAATAGGCCACCGTTTTTACATACTGACATATGTTCTTACCTTACCTTAGACTAGTTGATATGTACCTGTCTGGTCTCTGTCATGCAAACGAAGCACAAACGCAGCCTCTTCCACAGACTGTATAGTAACAAAATCAGCTCCCGTTAGAAGCTACCAAACTCTTCCACGTGTTCCCTATTTAAATACAGTTACGTGACGTGTTACTCTACAAAGTATAGTAACACCGCGCACTAACTCCTAAAGACTTCTTTCCCGCTCACGCTGCTTCTATTGACGGAAGTGAGCGGGAGAGAAGTCTATAGGAGTTAGTGCGCGGACGTAGCGCTCCTCGTATTATTACGCCTAACAATATAGTACCTCTTTTTATCCGCTGAGAAAATCGACATGTTACATTTCTGTGTTACTATACTTTGTAGTGTAACACGTCACGTAAAGAATAAATCGATAATGTTGAGATCATAATTTTTGGATTTCAAATAACATCATTTTGACAGCAGGTCACGGGGAGTACTCGTACCAACAGCCATCCTACGGAGAGCAGTACGACAGGTCTTTTGATGACTCTTCGCCGCACTACTATGAAGGTGAGGGTTTGTTCTAAAAATTATAAGCCACGTTTTCATTGAGCATCATGTTTCGGAATTTGAATTTGCGCATCAAAAAAAGTCTAATGGAAACTCGCAAACGTCAAATACATCCCAGTTCATGCTGAGGACTCTCTTCTGTTTCTACGTTTTCAAATCTGACTTGTATGTGTATTATTTTCATCTGTATGTTTTTTAAATGTGAAGAGCTTTGTGATCCTGGACTGTGAAAGGCGCTATACAAATATACTTGACTTGCTCACTAACTCTGTAGCAGACCACGCGCTGCGTAATTAGGCATATGTTTTGCCTCATTCACCTCTGGCAAAGCAATGTGTTTTTCCCTTAGTTTTGTGCATAAAGCCCCATGAGCGATGGGCTTGCTCACTCAAAACTGTCTCAGCCACTGCCCTGTCTGTGCATGTAGCAGAGAAAGGATGCATTGTGCTTATCTGTAGCCACTGCCCGGCTCTGGGGCAGTGCGCAGCAGGTTCCAGGAGAGGTATCTTTCTCTCTCACAGAGATCGCTCAGATGCCTCACCCGGTTAATGATGAGAGCCACCGCTGAGGCTGAGATATTAACATTCATTTATCCATTCATTCATTCATTCATTTATTTACTTCTAAAGTTGAAGAAAGATGAGTGCTGCAGTGGGTCTAGACAATAGGGAAAAAATGCGGATATATATAATGGTGTTATTTTCTTTTTTTAAACAAACGTGAATAAACTCAGGAGTGCGTGGCAAAGGCTTTTTGAGGCTTCCAACAGTCTTCTTAGCCGACTTCCTGCTGACCTGTCGCAAAAACGGGGCGTGAAACGAGCTGTTTCTGAATATTTATAGGCGTGACTTTCATAAATACGCTAGTTTTCAGCAGCTGTGTACGCTCAGATCTGGGCGGATCTCACACGTTCATAAATCCTGTGTTGGCTCTTACGTATTTGGAATATACACCCAAAATATACCCCATATATACACCCTTTTCTGCGCAAGTTTCATAAATGAGGGCCACTGTGCCTTTGATTATTGCCGTTAATCTGCATTTTCTTCTGCACATTGTCAGGTAACTCTCAGTACAATCAGCAGCAGCAGCAGGGCCAGTATCAGCAGGGGTCTGGTCAGCAGCCCTTTGGTCAGCAACAGCAGTACTCCTCCCAACCAGGCTATGGCGCCCCACCTCAAGGATACGGTGAGACTGCGGTCACCTGCAGGACTGTTGGCAAGAAAGAGACGTGATCAATGGAAACAGTTATTTTTAATATGCAAAATTAAACAATAAACAGAAATAAACCATTTGAAAAGGAGACACAAACAAATACTAACTTTAAAGGAGCAGTATGTAAAAATCTGGCCTAAAATGGTACTGCCCTCTCCCTGACTCAGGTTGCCAGATATGCAGATGAATCCAGCTGGGACCATTATATCTGAATAGAAGAGTTTTGTCAACAACAAATCTATAACCAACATTTTTTCCACAAAGATAGAAATCCTTGTTTTTTTCCTTGATTTGTCATTAATGATTTGAGAAATGCAGTGAGATTAGCTCGACGCGGTGAGTTCTGGCAACCTGGATCACAGACTTTCTGATTGGTTAAACCGTGGAGGGCGGGACATCGAGACATCAAGATTTACGGGCTGTAAAACTAATTTTGAAATTCAAATATCTCTGAACTACTTTTATCAGTTAAAGAAGTATGAAGAGCATGGTTTTTTGAGGTTTGTATGAAAATCTTACATATTGCTACTTTAAAAATAGTACATTCTGTTGGTCATGCGTGCATGTGTGTGTGTCTGTGTGTGCGTGCATGTGTGTGTGTGCGTGTACGTAAATATCAACCATCAATAGTTGGATTAATATGAAGTTATTATGTTTAACACTTGGCTGTTTTTGTGCTTCCAGGCCAGGGCAGTTCATCGCAGTATTCTCAGTATCAGCAGGGTCAAGGTCAGCAGTATGGTTCGTACCGCTCGTCCCAGGGAGGAGGGCAGCCAAGACCCTACTCCTATGAACAGGTATTTCATTTCATTTGATTTACTGATCTCTTGGGTGCCATGACACCACATGGGGCTCTGTAGTAGTAGGTAGAAGCATTCAAATCAAATTATATTATATATTTATTTAGTGTCATCACATATCCATATAACATCATGATTTGTTTTGTGTGATTTTTGTTTCCTTTTGTATTTGCAGGGTCAATACGGGAACTATCAGCAATAAGCCAACGCTGGTAATGGAAGAAAACGTGTATCGATGTGGTGTACATTATAGTTCGTAACATATTTATTCTTTCAAACTTCAGAATGCCCTTTGTGATCGGACGAGCACTGTTTTATCCTAATAATGATCGGTCAGACTGTGAGATGGTCATAGATGAGTCTCTTTATACTGTACATGTCTGAGGTCATAGCAGTCACCCACATATTTAAGCATTTATCAACTGTCGCACTCTGGTTGCCATTCAGTTGTTGTTTATAAGTACCTGTGTTTGCACTTTATCTCCCAGTGACTGTGTATCTTTGTATCTTCTGTGTATCACACTTTAGTAGCTCTACAGTGTGTTGTTGTTGCTTTTTTTAGTATTATCACAAGAAAGCCAAAGTATAACTACTAAACAAGCACTTGGTTTGCAATACGCTATTTCAATAAGTGTATATTTACGACGAATGCAGAACATTTGTCTCAAGAAAATACAGTTGTGCTAGAAAGTTTACACAACCATAGATTTTATTCCAAGGTGGCCCATAAAATCAGTAAGTAATATTAATTTATATAACGCAGTCATGTCCAAACTAAGGCCCACGAGACAATTGCGGCCCTCTGTGTAATATTCTGTGGCCTTCTGCCTTGCATAGACAAAGCAATCTCGGAGATCATAAACACAAGTTCACAGGGTCATCCAGCCAACTATAACGTACAATAATAACACAATTATATATACATGAAAGTAAAAGTAACAATAATAAAATACATATAACAGAGGACCAGACTACTTAGTGTTAAAATCCAAGAGAGTAAAAGTGGGTATTAAAACATTCCAACGAGGGAGTTAAAGCACATATATACAGGAAGCAGAGACTTTTAGAGAAAAAATGTGTAGCTTCACCGACAAAGAGGAAAAAGAGCCTCATCCACAACTTTTTTACTTGTATTTTAAATGCTAGCTAGACCATTTTGATTAATAATTCTTTGCACACTGTAAACCTGCTGTCGCTTTGCCTCTGCCCGGGGACTGCAAATGTAAATGAGTTTGTAGTTATATGTCCGGTCTGTACAATACATTTATTGTGCAATGTCCTGACAAATAAATAATTAAATAAATACAAAATAAATAAATTTCCACAGAAGACTCCCAGCTGTCACAGATGTTACAGGGGAAAAGGCACAGGCTGTAAATATTAAGGAAATACATGTTATTGGGGCGATGGAGACTTCTGATCAGGGTTATCAGGGAGTAGAATTGCGTCACACAACCACTAAACATGAATGAAAGAAAAAATGGAGTTTGTGTTCTCATTCATAGTCTCCAGGAAATGGCTACAAAACAAATGTCTGCCTTTGAGCAAACCTTTCAAGCACAACTGTCTTTCGTATACCTCCGTTGCAGTACCTCCGCTTACCTCAGGGGGGCAACATCTCCTTTGCTGACAGAACCCCAGGGTTATAAGGACTCTACAGCTTCTACAAACATGACAATCATGAGCTGTATTCCAACAAATTGGCTAAACTGTGCTGCTGTGCTTTTTTATGTTGTATCCATGTCTGAAAGCGCTGTGTGCCTGGAATGTGAATTTGTGTACAAAGACTCAAGTCACGCCAGAAAACGAGAATGTTCCTGCCTTTTGTCTAGTGTCACGTCAGCGTTTATCGTCTGCTCTTAGCAATCGTTTGTGTGCTACAGTGTGCTATTTGATACTCAGAATAAACTGTAATCTCTGCAAAGCTCTGGTCTTTACCTGGATCTTTTGTTTATCCACAGAAAGTAGGAAGCGCAAACACATCCTTGTGTCTTTGCACTGGCTTCTTGTGCTTTTTAGAACTGATTTTAAGATTGTAGTTTGTTATTAAAGGAGACATTATATGCAAATTGACTTTTTCTTTCCTTTCATCATGTTTACAACGTTGTCCCACAGACCTTGAGTTGCTCTTAGATCCATCCGCGCCAATATCGGGATCTTGCACAAACATGTAACTCCGCCCTAAAGTGTTATGAAATCTCACAGAGCAGTGGTTAGCCAAAGCACTTACAGCATGACAGAGGTGAGTCTCAAATCATCCACAGGAGCATTACACTCATTATTCATTGTATTTTTGTCATTTCTGTATCATTTAAAGTTGGGTTACCTCATTTTCAAACTTCAAAACAATGTAATAAAAGCCTTTGCACTTGTTTCTGGCCCTAAAACGTTTAGTTTTTATTGTTAGTTGGCACATGTTTAGATCAGCTTTTTCTGAGAGAAAAGAGTAAGAGACAAAGACCATCATCAGCTCACCGCTGTGAGAGCTCTTCCTTACAACGTTTTCTAAGAAGACGAAGACAGAATGTTCTGATCTATTACAAGACTCTTTCTGTTGGAACTCTCTACAAGTGCAAGTACTGGTTTGAAAAGTTTATTCTCGCAGCTTTAATCACTTTGATCATAGTCATTCTATTGTTACTTCGATGTTACAATAGAATGTTACAAGATTCAGTCTTTGAAGTGCGGCATATTCTTAAACTCCTACTGTTTTGGCTTGTGCACAAAAGTTTGGCATACCCAAATGTCTTTGCTTATTTAAAAACACATCTCCCATCTCACATGCTTGTGTGATGCATCATTTTAAAGCTAGGCCCTTCTAGTTTATGTAAATATACACTGAAATAATGTATGTCATTCCTATTTCACTCTGTATCCTTTGAAGTTTGCCCTAAAAAATTCAATGTATAAATGCCCTAAAAAAGCCTACTTCATTGGAAGAAGAAAATATTCAACGCCAATTTGTTTGTTGTGTTGTTGACAACAACTGTGTAAAGTTTCAGACTTCTAAGTTTTATAGTTTTATAGTAAGTAGTGCCATTCGGAACCAATTTGGCAAAATCTGTTCCAAATTGTGCCAAATTGCTTTACTGATATTTCCTCAAAACCATACTTTTTAGTTTTGGTACTTATAAGTTACTAATCTGTGTGATTAAAAAAATATATATATACATACACACGTCATTTATTTTGTTACCATACTATGTGTTATATTTTTTTAATTCCAAGTCTGATATTGTTTACACTTGTATATACACATGTAGATGAGAAAACAAGCTTTAAAATGATATATAGCTTGTGTGTTATGAAGTTCAAAACACATCTGCTATTGCCAGCAGAAGTGTTTTTTTTCCTCGAGCTGAAGCCGCTAAGTTGATGGTTGGTTTTAACTCATCAAACACTAAATACTCAGGCTCGTCAGTGTATTGCAGGCTGAAGGGTCCGTGTACCTTGCGTTTATTCTATTTTTGTTTCTGACATTCCAAATAAAAAATGAAATTTGGGGCTTTTTCTGTTTTCTGATATACAGTATGAAGCATATATTGAAAAATGAAGAAATTGCCGTTTTCCATTGAATCACGGCAGTAATGTTGGATGTTGCGCTGTTTTCTTTAGACAGAATTTTTGCAAACGTTGCAATATTCAAAATCAAATATTTGTAACAACCAAAATACATAACACCATCAATGTTTTAATATTAGTTTTATTCCTTCATGCTGCCCAGGCTGCAGTCCTTCCGACGCATCCTGCACACACAAATATAACAACCCGTGGCAAGTGCAACACATCCAAATCTTATGCCACGTAATCCTGGATCTTTTACGACCAGCACCAACAAACTCCACTGCAAGGCAGGGTTTACCCTGCTGCAGTTTCCTCACGGTGGTGCTGTCCTCCAGACCATGGTCGCCTCCACTTCAGGTCCTCTTGGCCCCTTTACCGTCACCTTCACCATTACTGCTCCTCCAGCCCAGGACAGCCTCACTGCTCAGAGTGTCGCACTCAGCCTGTGCACCCATGGGGTGGTCTTGTGCGTCCGGGTTTCCCGTGCACATGGCCAGCGCCCCTCTCTCTCGCTCACACCGTGGGTTCCCCGAGGCTTCTCTCCTGCCTCTGGGACCATGTCTCCGTTTGTCTGTGTGCATAAATGCCCAATGGTCTCCCGCAACCGCACTTTCCAGATGCCATCCGCTTCATTATTTCCCGGTCCGCCTCTTGACATGAGCTTGTTCCGATCAGTAGGGGCGGGGCCAAAATGATGTGCGCCGACATGCTTGCAATACCACCCCGGGCTGATGGGGGTGGACCCGGAATAAGAATTAGCCAATGCTAACATATAGCATTAGCCAAAGCTCCGTTCCACATGTGTGTCAATGTTGAGGGGAGTGAATTTTGGACTCGTTTAAATGAATGGAGCTGTTGCCGGCTGACGCATGCACACCGCGTGACTCCTCGCACAGCGCGACTCCCAAACCGTGCGAGCCACCGCATGCGCGAGTTGCGGGGTACAAATCAGACTTTATACATGTGCTCCTGTTTACACATACAATCTGTGAGTGTGTCCATATATACAGTCTCCATTGGATGACCATGTCACACACCATCTTCCTAAAGCCCTGATGGGAGCGACACTGTATTTTGAATGTCTATGATCAATGATTGTGTGTCTCTATTGAAAAACTAAACCTTATTCTCCCCATGTAACACTGGAATCAGTCTGTAGGGGGCGCTTATGCAGCAATTTCATGTTTTACACTTTCAGTTTATACCAGTGGGGGAGGGTCCCAGCTCCAAAGTGGCCAAAATGACGTGCGCTGACATGCTTGCAATACCACCCCGGGCCGATGGGGGTGGACCCAGAAGTAGAATTAGCCAATGCTAACATATAGCATCGGCAGACCTCTCAAAAACGTCTTTACAGGATGGACCAAAAGTTGGCTCTTGGCCCAAAGCTTCGTTGCACATGTGTGTCAATGCTGAGGGGGGTGGAATTTTTTGGTCCACTCTAGTTTACTTGCTGTGAATTTTTTAAGTCTCTCGTTCAAATGAATGGAGTTGCGCCGGCTGACGCATGCGCAGATGCGTTTTTCCACAATTTTCTTGTGGGCGGGACCACTCGCGGCCATTTTGGTTTGCTCCAGTAGAGCACATTTTTTGGCCCATTAGTTAGAACGGCGGAGATAGGCGTAACTCTGTCCATTA